CATTATTCAATATAGAACACATCTAGATAGTTTCCAGATCATAAAAGTCAAGCTACTATATATGGTCTTTGATTAAATTTAAAAATAGACTGCCGTTAATTACTGGAATATTAACTCAAAGCTTGATGATGAAGCTATTGATTGAAATCAAACCGATTATTGAATATTGATCATTGAATAGGTGAATAATCACTCTCTTGATAATGTTACTTATTCATATTGCATGCAAATCAACCTGATTCAATCTACAAAGGTTGGTAGTTGCACCACTTCGTGGCGAAACTACCCATCCACGATCAATCAACATTAGATTCACTTCCATTCAACTCAATTTGACCGTTATAATCAATAAATCAATGAAATGTTACTTTATTAGCAATACCTATTCAATTTAATGAGTAGATTCACGTCCCAAACATTTGACTTCTCAAAGTCCATAATTCAAAAGTTGATACTGACCTGACCTTTATATATCTATCAATATAAGAATTGAAACCATCAAATATACATCATTAATAGATCATAAGAAATATAATCAATGATATAAATCTTCACTAAGTAATCTCTTAAATAACCCAAATAAATCAACTCTGAATCCTAACCAAACCCAAGAATTCTTCTAAACCCAACCTTCAAACCCTAGCCCAAAATTATAAACTTATTCAAATATCATTAAATCTTATATCATTCGATAGGAAATGATGAGTAGAACAACGTAGTATATTTAGTTTTTCAATTTATAAAATATTAACTTTGTAAATAATATCAGATTAAAATTTGTAAAATGATACCATAGGAAGAATGATAATTTCAAAATCCTTTAATGAGATTATATAGTATATATCTTCACTAACAACATTCATAATCACTCTCATATGAAATTTCTAAACTTCATGTCTGTAGGTATAAAAGTATCAAGTGAAAAGGGAAGTTGTGAGGTAAAAGAGGTCAACAATAACTTTTGAGTTTCTCATCAAAACATATTATATCCTAATATGAAAATGTTCCATTTGATGAGTAAACATCGAATATCAAATTTATTTTAACTTTCATATTTACAGATTTCTTCTCAATCACACATGGTCTACTTTGATGAAAAGGATGAAATCTTGAAAAAGGACCACCTATTGAAACTTTACCAACATGATGTACATGATCTATAATGATATAGAATTCAATTTCATATCATAAAAATTAGAAATGGTACCATGGGAATGTAAATGTTGATTTTACAAAGTTGACTTTAAGGAAAGACAAGTCAGATCAAGTCTATCAAAAACATCACTTCAATCAACAAATTACACATGTACATGCTCCATTAGATGTGTAGAGATAGAATATCAAGTTTATTTTAACTTTCATAATCAAGATTTCATCCCTTTCATACCATCTAGTCAACTATGGACATGGATGAAAATCTGGAAAATGACCTCTCTATGAAACACTTCCATCATGT